GTATCAATCAAGAACGAGTTCAACGTGGTTTCAATTGTCGGTTTGTCAACATTTCAAGATGGATACAAACTGCTTGCAGCATGTGTGAGCATGGTGAAAGGTACAATTTGGTTTCTGGCAGGATGTACAGGGATCCAATTGGCAATGGTTGCTTTCACGATGACTGCAATAGCATGTTTGATGTGGTATCTATGGATTGATGCGAGCCACTTGAGAAACGTCGATCAAGACGTGCAATGAAACAAGTGCAGATGCAGTTGGTGGCAGCAATTTTTCTTTGCAGCCTGGGCAATGCCCGTGCAATGGAAGAGGCCACTGGGCAATCTCAGATGCAGGAAGCTTTCCTGCAGAGGATGACATCGATGGCTGAGGCAGCAACACGTGCAGCGATGGCTGCTGAGAAGGCACTTGAGAAAGCGTCTTCTTCAGGTGGGGCAAGCTCGATTGAAGGTTTACAAGCAGCTTCTCGGATCCTCAAGCCCCCAGACACCTACAATGGAGAGGATGTGATGCTGTTCCAACAGTGGAAACACCAGTTCACAAGTTGGCTTTGTTTTGGAGATGGCCGATACTCTGATGTTTTGCCTGTGCTTGAGAAGAAAAGTGCAGCTCCAGAGTGGTCTACATACAATGCTGACGAGCGGTCAATGGCTCAGAAACTCTACGCGGTTTTGACTTCATACCTACGTGGTAGATGCTCTCACATGGTGAGGGCTGAGTCTCAGCTGAAAGATGGGTTCAAGCTGTGGTACAACCTGAACCAGGAGTTCCTTCCAAGTACCCGTCAGAGGAGCCTCGCACTAGCTCAAGCATTGGGAGCATACCCAGTGTTTCCAAAGGACAAATCTGCTTTGGAGTCCATACTTAGCTACGAGCAACTGGTCCATGAATATGAGCAAGCGAGCGGCAGCACATACCCGAAGGAACTAATGTCTGCAACACTCATTCGATGCTGCAATCCTCGCCTTCGTGAACAGATTCAATTGGGGATATCTGACACTACGACATATGCAGATATTCGAGATAGAATTACTTCATTTGAGAAGGTGTCCAAAGCCTGGACCAGTGAACAAGTTCTCAAACACATCAATGAACCACCCAACTATGCCTCTACAGCCAATGATGGGCCCACTCCAATGGAGGTGGACCGTGTTGAGAAAGGAAAAGGAAAGCAGAAAGGCAAGAGCAAAGGCAAAGGTGGATCAGGGGCAGAATGGGCTGGATCTTGGATGTTTCATCGAGGCCGTGGACGAGGACGCACCAATAAAGGAAAAGGAAAGGGCACATCAAAAGGGAAGTCAAAAGGAAAGAAGGGTGCCAAAGGAGGTGGAAGTGCCAAAGGAAAGAAAGGTGGAGGCAGAAACAAGGTTGCCTATGGACAATGTGCAAATTGCTTCGAATATGGACATTGGAGTCGTGATTGTCCACATATGGTCAACCAAGTGGCTGGAAAACAGGAACCAATACCACCAAACCAAGCCTCTACATCTTCTTCCTCAACGATGCCTGCTGCAAAATCATCTTCGAGTGCAACAGTGCGGCGTGTTTTTCAGTTTGGTGCTTCACTTTCCAATCCTTCTTCTCCAACTTCACCACAGAGCCCAACATCACCACAGGTGCGCATGGTTCTGTTTCATGATTTTGAGAATTCTTGGGCAGAATTGCCTGGTGAAGCATCTGGTGAGGACATAGAATGCGAGTGGGTGATTTTAGACTCTGGATCAGATGTGTCACTGCTTCCATTCAGGTTTCGTGCTGACGCTGACAGTGGTACCAGTATGGCTCATGGAACCCTCCAGAACTGTCAAGGAGGAAGCCTCCAGACCACAGGTACAAAGAAAGCTGACTTGATAGCAACAACCACAGATGGAGAGGAGGTGTTGCTACAGCATGAGTTCATCATCAGCAACGTGACGTCCTGTTTAGTCTCATTGGGTCAGTTGTACCAAGGTGGATGGACAATTTGCAAAGATGAGTTGAACGACCGTTTGAGTTTGCAGTCTCCTGGAAAGGAAATCAGTATCCCTGTGGAGTACAAGAACCGCTCTTTTGCCATCAAGGCCCATGTCAGGCAAGTTTCCGATGTGTTGCCAGGTACTGTCATGGCAGCTGATGACAATGATGAGTTGATGGTAAGAACAGTGGTGTATGCTGAGGATGAGATTGACAATGCACCAATGGATACCTGGGAGATGACTGCAGATGGTACACCTTTCATGAAAACGATCACAACAAACTTTGTTGACCCTGAGGGAGTTTGGCCATTCTGGCCATACAGGACTACGTTGATTCGAAAGTTTCAGAGAGATCGCCCATGGACAGTGGTGGAGTTATCCCGCAAGTTCAAAGACATGCGTCAACCTTTTGGAATGATTGACCAGTTTCTTCTTTCAGTTGGTTTTGAAGATGAGTGTGAGTGCTTGACGTTGTTGGGTGTCGAGCCCCAAACGTTACTTGAGCTGGGCCTTGTTGCAGTGGATGAAGGTGGTGATGTGATTTTTGACCAAGATTTAGCAGTTTCAGGGCTACGACAAAAACATGTTCCTTCACCTACAGCAGCTGGTTCTCAGGCATCAGCAGTCTTACCTCCTGATGATGGAGGACAACATCGACAAGTACCAGAAATGGAGGCTGGAGATGAAATCCAAGCTACACCTGACGTTGAACTTTCCATGGAGGATGATTCACTCACAATCAACGATGATTTGGTGGTGACAGCTTCCTCAACGATTAGACTACTGCGAGATGCATGCAGATGGCTTGGAATTTCACAGGCAGGATCAAAACAGAGGATGTTTGACAGGTGCAAGAAGGCCAAGGAGTTAGCGCTTCGACGGAGTTTGGTTGAGTCTGCACGAGAACAGTACAAATCTCAGAGTTTGGATGCTATTCCAGTTTCAGTTCCTCAACAACCGAGTGATGAGGAAAGAGCTCTTCATGAGCTCACCCATGTGCCATTCAGACCATGGTGCAAGTACTGTGTGATGAGCAGATCAAAGGCCAATCAACATTCTCACATGCCAGATCCTGTAGGTGAATCACAACGTGAGTTTCCAACGATTCAGTGTGACTTCTTCTTCATGGAGCCAGGTAAAGAGGGTGCAGTGGCAGCTTTGCTTATGGTGGATGTTTGGTCGAGGTTTGTCTCAGTTGCCCCTTTGAAACAACGAAATGCACAGACAGTGGGTCGAGCTTTGGTGAACTTCATCAGCAGTGTCAGAGATGGTACAGTTGAAATAGCCTTTGACAACGAGCCTGTGTTGGTGGCAGGAGTTTCCTTTTGCAAAGCAGTGAGAGCTAAAGCCGAGCTCAAGACCCATGTCAGTCCAAACAAGTCCTATGACAAATCAAGAACTGGTGTGGCCGAACGTTTTGTCCAAACTATCAGGGGAATTCAGAAGACCCTGATATGCCATTTGGAAGATCGTTTGCAAGCAACTGTGCCAACTGGTCATCCTGTCATTCAATGGGCTGCGCTTCATTCAGCATGGATCTACAACCGGTTCCACGTCCATACCACTCTGAAAACGACCCCATACCAATCACTTTGGGGCAGACCATACAAAGGCAGAATCACAGGCTTTGGGCAGACGGTGTTTGGACTTGATCCCAAGGCAGTCAAGTATAAGCCGGGGTGGAGACGTGGTGCATGGTTGGGTATAAGGACAGTGCTGATATGGATTTGATTTCAACAGACGGCCAAACCATCATGCGTACAAAGGCAGTCAGGAAAATCAACAATGAGTGGAGTTCAGAGTTGGTTCTTGGCATATCAGATGGGCCAATGGATTTCTTTGGACACAGACAGGTGAAATCAAAACAAAGGATCATTGCGCTTTCTGGACCAATTCCTCAGGAGATTGACGAGGAGGCTGAAGCAGTCCGAGATTTTGTTTCAGAAGGCTACTCTCCTTCTCATGTTGACGATGCGGATGCAGAACGTTTGCAAGTGGATGTGCAAGAGTGGGAGGATGCAGGACTTGAGCATGCTTCCAGTCCCACCGAGATGTCTGACCAAGGTGGGGCCGTTTCTCCAAGCTTGATGCAGGCACCCATCACCCCAGTGCTTGCAAATGAAAGCGATGAAGATGCCGAGATCCCTGCAGTTTCTCACAAGCATCCAGCAAGCGGTCCTCTAACCAGTGAACATGCTAAGGCGCAAAGGATGGATGATGCAATGTTCTACTTTAGTGGATAATGCATTATCTGTGAACTCACCCCATGTTACAGTGTGTGTGCAATGTGCACATACCTGTTGTACACACCCATGTCCACGTTTGTTGTGCTCTCTCACGCGTTGCGTGTCTGTGCGCTGTTTGGTTCCGTTTACATGTGGGTGGGGATCTGGTGCTGCGTGGTCTCTTGATTTTATTCTGCGTACGCGTTTTATGGTTGCTTTTCTTGTTTTGTTTGTTTGCTGGTTTAAACTTGTTTAAACTGCCAACCCGTGCAACTGACAGTGATGTGCTGTTGTTTGCCTTGGTTTGTGGACGCAATCAAATCTGTTTTATTTAGCAAACCTTTAGTACCTGTGTGTTTGCAAAATTTAAACCAATACAAACACAGTACAATGAACACAAATTGAGCGGAAGACATTTTTATCTTGTGGTGGCCAATTTGGTTCCAAGTTGAACGGGAGCAATGTGCTCACTATGCGGCAGCGTGGGGCAGTAGACAAGGGGCGTCGCGCCATAGCTTCGCCGATCCAGTTGCCTGCAGGTATTGTTGAACATCCTCAACAACTGTCCTTTTCCTGTCTCTGTATTATCATTTGGTGCAGTTTTTGGTGTGGATTTGGATTCGCAATCTTTTCCATTTGGGTCCTTTTGTATGGACCAGCTGCACCTGCGTACATTGACTGAGCTGCTGCATTTACTTTTTGCTGTCATTGTGGAATTGCTGCGCAGATTTGGATGTACCATTACTGTCCCGGAAGATTCTACTTCAGATTTGCAATTGGCATTTTGCTGTACTTCCAGGTGTTCTTTTTGTCTTCTGCAATGTCGTTTAGGGCAGACACATCGAGGGCGACATCGTTGCCATCAGCATTGGAGCACGCCTTAGATGCGGAAGATGAAACAGTAGTGGGGGGTTTTGCATTGTCGATGATTCCATGCAACATCCATGAGGATTTTGATCCTTCTCATGATCATGATGAGCCTGCCAACAGTTCCAACAGCTTCTCCCATCAGCAGGAATGTTTTGAAGGTATTCCAAATTTGCGGCCCACTGCTTTGGACTCAGAGGATGGTGTTGATTCTCAACAGGCAGACTTATTTGGTGAACAGGGCAGTTTTGGTCTTGCTGGATGGGAAACTGTAGGTGAAGATGATGACGTGTGTTTAGACAACGGTTTGTTGGCTCCGCAATTAGATGAGGGCATTGACTGGCTTCTTCGTTTGAACGAGGATGATGCTACAAGTCGGGGCCTTTGCACTGAGCGTTTGAGACCTGATGTGCAACAGGCGTCTGAACCTGTCAGACCTGCATTGCCTGGTTTTGGAGTTGACCACAGCAGATGGGCTTTGGAAGACAGCTCACAAAAGTTTTTCTGGGAGACTGATCCTTTTTTGAGTGACGTTTTTGGGCAGTGCAATATCCATGGCCCGGATCTCAAGCGTCCTGCTGTTGACATTGACTTGACTGATCGACTGCAGACTAATGTGATGTCACTACTGCAGAAGCCTAAGCAGTCAAGGGTTTCTGGGTTGTGTGAGCAAGTCATCAAACATGTCGAGATGAAGGATGAGGCTGACAAGAGACAAAGCGTCATCTCAAATTGGACGAGTCTAGTGTGCATCAGTCTGGATGCCTTTTCAGTTGGTGATGCAATTCTGGCTGGAGGTAACAAGGTTACCCACATGGATGTCGAGCAGAGCCTGAAAGCTTGCTTTGCCAGGAAGGCCACCTCAACACTGGCGAAGAGGTTCTATGCCCTGAATAGGTTCGTGAATTTTTGTGGACAACGTGGTTTGCAGTTTTTTCCTTTGAGGGAGCATGTTGTATTCACATACCTGCAGGGCTTGTTGCGAGATGATACTACTGCAGCAAGTGCTGGCAAGTCGTTTTTGGAAGCCTGCCAGTTTGCCAAAGGAGTCTTGGGGCTGCGAGGTGATTTGGCTGACCTTGGTACTGCCCGAGTTGATGGGGTTGCAACTGAACTTTGCATGCGTGCAGGGCCAATTGCTCAGGCAGCTCCGCTATTGGTGACTCAGGTAGTTGCTTTGGAAAAGCTTGTTGCCACGACACCTGACCTGAAGGACAGAGTGCTTTTTGGGGCCATGCTCATTCTACTTTATGGATGTGGCAGGTTTTCTGATGGACAAAGGGCTGTCAACATTATTTTGGATGTTGATGTAGCTGGCATTGACCCTGATTCATTGGATTGCCCGGGGTACTTGGAGCTTCAGGTTCTTGGAAACAAAGGTGCGCGTAGTGAAGTTTTGCGACGAACCTTTTTACCACTTGTGGCTCCTATTTATTCACTGGGTAGCTACGACTGGTTCAGGGCATGGTTGCAGTCACGTGAAGCTTTGGGGCTGGAGACTGGTGGCAGGTTGAATGCCCCGCTGCTGTGCAGGTTTGGGGTTGATGGGAAGCCGCTCCAGCAGGAAGTCACCTCTTCTGAATGCGGCAAGCTACTACGTGAGGCGCTGCGTGTCGGGCATGGCAAGGGCTGTGCAGTGAAATCACACAGCCTCAAGGCTACAGCACTGTCATGGGCTGGAAAACATGGCCTGGATCTGGAGACCAGAAGGCTGCTTGGGCACCATTTAGATGCCAACGCAAAATCAGCTGAAGCCTACAACAGGGACAGCATGGGTCCCGCCGTGGCGAAGCTGGTAGGAACTTTGCAGGCGATCAAACAAGGTGTTTTCTTGCCCGATGCAACACGATCTGGACGCTTCGTCAGTCAGGCTCAAGATGACATACCTGCAAACCAAGAGCAGTCGGACTCTGACAGCAGCTTTGTGCCGTCATCAAGTGATTCATCTGATAGTGAGGACGACATTTTCTCTGGTCCAGCTGACTCAACCTTGTTGTGGCATCTGGTTGTGCCTGATTTACGGCCGGGGTTTGTTGACATCCCTGAGTCATGCACAGTTTACAGAAACAATGTCTCGGGCATGCAGCATTTGAAGCTGCATGGAAGCGTCAAGTTCCTTTGTGGCCGCCGTGAATGCAACAGGTACACCTACTTTGCCGGGAAGCCCGTGAAGGGCGTGGCAATGTGTGAGCATGGGGAGCAAAGACCTCGTCTCACGTAGTTGATCCCGTGAGGGCTTCAGTGGACATTTTTGTCATGTCATGGTGTTCTGTTTCAAGTACCAAATGTTTACTTCGAAGATGTTCTTGCTGTGATGTTTGGGTTTTCATTTGCCTTGCGTTGATTTGCAATGTGCAACCTTTTTCAACGCTGTTTGACCAGTGTGCATGTTATGCTTTGCGTAATGTATGCAAATGCATGAGCTTGGTCTGAAGGTAGGAACCTTCGAAGCGCTCAGGTTCATTCCAATGTGGAAAGAATAGCGCTCAATACTCTGGCTTTTCCGATGTGGAAAATTTATCATGCTGCGCCAGAGTAATGAGGGATGAGAGTTCAATGACTTGCATACGTGAAGCCGGTAGGGCCCAGCATGTGTGGCCTTCGAATGTTGCCAGCTTTCACTTACATGAGCGTGTATTTTTAGTGGATCAAGGAAAAACAGCAGAGGTTGACATGTCACCTGCTCACTTGCGAAATGTTGCTGTTTTTACCTTGGTTTCAAACCTTCCAATTTTTTCTCCAGGTTAGCAACTGGACATGCTTTCTCATTGAGTGTTAATTGCTTTCGCGATAGCCCGCGCCGATGGCTAGCTATGCTGAGTCTAATGCCAGCTTCAAACATCGTGCACTACAGATCCAGCTGGCTGATGACCACATACAGGCGATGTACGACAATGACATCCGATGTTTCAATCACTTGGCCTTTGCAGTGAATGGACAGCCTGGACAGCTGGATGGTGAACGTTTTCAGAACTTGGTTGACATGATTTGCCCTAGGGGCGCTAGCATTGGAGTTCAAGCAGGGCTAAAGCAGTTGGCCTATGAGGCGTTAACAGTTGCAGTGGCGGCCATCAAGCAGAGGGTCGAAGCACCTGACGAGACGGTCAGAAAGCTGCCAGCTCAGGAGAAGGATATGCGGTTGAAAACAATGAGGGAGAAAATCAGCGGCTTCGAAATCGTGGGTGACTACGAGCCTGCACACTGTGTGATTGACGCTTTTGCTGCTATGTTGGAGGAGGGTGCGTTGAGACACTTTCCATTGAGCCGATGTGTCAGTCGTGAGCTTGAACTGCTGTCGGTCAAGACTGACAAACAGGTGGTTTTGCTTGAGGGGCACCAGCTACATGTCAAAGCGAAAACAGATGACCTGACATCTGAAATGGGCAATGAGCTTCGTGTTCACCAAGCAATGATCAGACGTGGGTTGGCTTTGGAGATGAGTAATTTGGCTACATACTCAACTCATGAAAAGGTGATGCGCCATTTCATGGGACATTTGAGCAAGCCTGCCCCACCTGGATACAAGGCAGCCTCCATCGATGCAATATTGAGGGCTGACAAGGAACTCTGGACTCGTGTTGCTGATCAAGTGAGGTCAGAGCTGCGCGCTGACAAGACTGGCGCACTGCCTGTGGATGTCGCCCTGGAGCAACTTCACACTTCGGCATCGGTGGCCTTCCACTTGCTTCCGTTGCCTTTGGGCTCTGGCGGCAACACGGGTGTCAAGAGGAAAGCAAGTGAGGATGACGAAGCACCCCAGAAAAAGCAGCCCAAGCCATCGCCAAAGAAGAAGCCATAGAATCGTCAAGGCAGGTCAAACCTGCCGTCTGGTTTGCATGGATTCAGTGGCTGGAATAAGCAGAAGCAGCGCATCTGCTACAATTTCAACATGGCCCACGGCTGCACCAACAAGGTGTCCAAGGAGAATAACTTCGACAAGTGTAACAGGGGCATGCACCAGTGCATTAAGTGTCATGGCAAGCACCCGCTGAGTCAGTGCTCAAACTGAATTGGTGTGCCGCCAGAAGGCTCAGCTAGCTCTGGTGGCACATTTGCGGATTGCTATATTGTTGAAGTTTTTTGTGGAAAAGCTGGTTTGTCGCGAGCTCTTCGCCGGAAAGGCTTTCAAGTTTTTTCAGTCGATCACAAGGCGGTCAAAGGAATCCCTGTTTTGCAGATTGACTTGAATTCACCTGCACAATGCAAGATTTTTGAGGAGCTTTTGACGCAAGGGCGTCTGCTTTACGTGCATTTTGCACCACCATGTGGTACTGCATCGTTGGCGAGGTGCATACCATTGAAGAACAGGAAGGGCCCCAGGCCCTTAAGGAGCATGAGACACCCCATGGGCTTACCAGGCTTGCCATTCGTGTCTCGGGAAAGGGTCAGCAAAGCAAACCATTTATACAAGCTGACCTGTCGGTACATTAAGATGTTGCACCGCATGAATGCGGGCTGGTCAGTTGAAAATCCATCCAGCTCGCTGATGTGGGTCACCACTCATTTCGTAGAGCTGATGCAGTACTTAGGCAAAAAGTGCCTTGGTTTTTGTTTCCACAACTGCATGTTTGGATCGCGGCGGAAGAAAATGACAGCTATTTGGACCAGCATCGAAGAAATTTTGCAGTTACATCGCATCTGTGATGACAGTCATGAGCATGAGGCGTGGGGGGTCACAAAAGAGGGTGCGTTTGCTACGGCCCAAGAATGCGCCTACGACCCTGTTTTATGTGCCCATTGGGCAAATGCCATAGCTGAGTATGCACAGCGCCTAGGGTACCATGAGCCGCCTGCCACTCTTGATGCGGTGGATGCTGGCCACCTACATGTGAAAGACCTGGCAAACCGTGCCATCACCGGCAATCTGCCTCGGGGCAACAAATTGCCACCCCTTTTGACAGATTTTTTGCGTACTGAAGTGGTCAATTTTGCAAATTTTCCTTTCTTGAAGCAAGTGCAGCCTGGCTCCAGGTTGCCAGACAACCCACATTTTTCCAAAGGTGCTCGGCTGCTTCGGTTTTTGAATGATCAGAAGGGGGTTGAAATTGGCATGCCTCTTGAACCGATGGAATACATCAAACGGGCGTGCAAGTTGGTGCACCCCAACATGCAACCTGTCAAACTTCCAGAAGGCATGGAACGGGCTATCATGTTGCATGGGTGTGACTCGGCCCTTGAGCTTCGCCGTGTTCGCATAGGGTGGACCAAATCTATGATTGAAATGTACAATCAGTCCAAGGTTGCGGAAGAGAGGATCAGCTTGGAGAGACCAGGGCATTTGAAGTCCGTTTTGGATGGCAAACGTTTTGAACTCATGAGGATGTCCTTGGAGGCAGTGGGTTACCCGGATGCCTCCATTGCAAAGAGGCCTCAGACGGCTTGCCGTTGGTTGGTTGGATGAAACCGTCTGACATGTTTGCTTCCAACATAAGACCCCCGGAGTTACATGTGGACAGCTTGGTCAAGATGGCTGCGTCTTTTTCGAGCAGGGCGGTTGCTAGTGTGAAACCGTCACAAGATGGTGAGCTGGACAATGAAGTTTGGGAGGCGACTCTCGCTGAAGTTGCTGGTGGGACGTTGGAAGGTCCATTCTCTGTTGATGCTTTGCCCCAAGGAGATATTGTATCGCCCAGGTTTGGCCTGCGACAGGGGTTGAAAATACGACCGATTGATAATTTGACAGCTTCTGGTATCAATTCTACAGTTGGGTTGCCCGAGCGCTTGCAGGTTGACACCATTGATGAGGTTGCTGGCATGATAAAGCGTTTCATGCAGGTACATGGGACTGATTGCCGGTTGGTGGGTCGCACCTACGATTTGCGCAAGGCGTATCGCCAATTGGGTGTGAGTGCTGAACATTACAGGTTTGCTTGGATAGCAGTTTGGTCGCCCGTTGAAGGAGCAGTCAAGCTCTTTAAAATGAAGGGGCTCCCCTTCGGGGGAACAGCCTCGGTTGCCTCGTTCTTACGGGTGTCACGTGCACTCAAAGAGTTGGGCATCAGGGGCGGTGCATTGCTGTGGAGCTCATTCTTTGACGACTTCATCTGCATTGCTCGGCCAGAAGATGCTGACAGTGCCCATATGACTGTCAAGTTTTTGTTCAAGACCCTTGGCTGGGTTCTGTCAGAGGACCCGGAGAAGGACAAAGGTTTTGCTTCAACTTTTACAGCTCTGGGCGTTGAGTTTGACCTGACGCAGACTCATGAAGGTGTTCTCAGGATTGGGAACACACAGAAGCGCAGAGATGAGCTTGCTACAATGGTGCAAGGATTCATTGACGCTGACAGGTTGACTTGCGCTGAATCCGAAAGCTTGAGGTCGCGTTTGACTTTCGCAGAGGGACAGGTGTTTGGGCGGAGCGCAAAGCTTGCTTTGAGGGCTGTTGGCAGTCCAGTGAGGTCTGGATCTGACTGTTCCCCCTTGTCCGAGGAGGTGCTTTTTGGTTTGCGATGGATGTTGGATAGGATTGTACATGCTCCACCACGTGAAGTTACTACTTCTTCAGAGCCGCCTCTGCTGCTGTTCATCGATGGCGCTTGTGAGCCATCAGACGCTTCTGGAGCAACCATGATTACCTCTGTTGGGGCAATCTTGCTTGATGCGCAGGGTCGGGGCATGAAATTTTTCAGCCTTCACTTGCCTGATGAGGTGGTGGCTGAATGGAGCAGGGGCGGCCGCCGCCAGCTTGTGTTTGAAGCCGAAGTCCTTCCATATCTTTTGGCCCTTACATGTTGGAGCAAGATTTTGGAAAAACGCCACGTGCTTGTTTTTGTGGACAACGATGGAGCTCGGCACAGTTGGATCAAAGGTGGTGCTGAATCCGTTCACGCCATGCGAATGATCCACAAAGGGACGCTCCTTGAAGCTAAGCTGGAAGTCCAGCCCTTTTTCTGTCGTGTGCCAACAATGAGCAACATAGCGGACGGCCCTTCTAGGCTCGATTTTCGAATGTGTTTTGCGCTTGGAGCCGAAGAGTTCAAAGTGCCTATGGACGTCCTTCGCAAATGTGCGATTGGAGCGCATGTGCTCAATGATTAGGTGTGGTGAAGGCTAGATGTGGCACTTGGATCGTCCCCCGCCTATTTGAGAAAAATGTGTGGCTGAATTTTTCCGATGTGCAGTGATGTCAGTCTTATGCGGTGATGTTAGTTTTTAATTTTTAGCGACCAGACAAACATGACGGTAAAGCTGGTTCAGTTTGTGTAGAATACGCGTAGGGATCACGCTACTTATGTTTCCCCTCCCCACATGTTCATGTGAACCGTTTTGCGTGGCAGGGTGTGTTTTGGGTGAGTGTGAAGATAAGCAATGTTCTACTTTAGTGGATAATGCATTATCTGTGAACTCACCCCATGTTACAGTGTGTGTGCAATGTGCACATACCTGTTGTACACACCCATGTCCACGTTTGTTGTGCTCTCTCACGCGTTGCGTGTCTGTGCGCTGTTTGGTTCCGTTTACATGTGGGTGGGGATCTGGTGCTGCGTGGTCTCTTGATTTTATTCTGCGTACGCGTTTTATGGTTGCTTTTCTTGTTTTGTTTGTTTGCTGGTTTAAACTTGTTTAAACTGCCAACCCGTGCAACTGACAGTGATGTGCTGTTGTTTGCCTTGGTTTGTGGACGCAATCAAATCTGTTTTATTTAGCAAACCTTTAGTACCTGTGTGTTTGCAAAATTTAAACCAATACAAACACAGTACAATGAACACCATGACGGTAAAGCTGGTTCAGTTTGTGTAGAATACGCGTAGGGATCACGCTACTTATGTTTCCCCTCCCCACATGTTCATGTGAACCGTTTTGCGTGGCAGGGTGTGTTTTGGGTGAGTGTGAAGATAAGACCCAGTCATTGAGCACAAGGACAAGATGGCCAGAACCAGTGGAAGTGTGAACCAAATTGCTGAGGTGGAGATATGCCACAACGATGAAGATGATGTGTTCAACAATGAGTGGGAAGATCAGGTGCAGTTCCCTGATTCAGAAGATGAATACATTGCTGGACATGGTGAAGGTGAAGGACCACCAGAAGTGAGTGACGAGAAGTTGAATGAACTTGATGCTCGTGCGGCAATTGAAGAGATTGAGAAGCTGAACAACATGCAGGTGATTCAGCCAGTGGTCCTTACTCCAGATGAAATAGCCAGCAAGAATGTGGTGGATACAACCTTGGTCTATGATTGGAGGTTCAGAGGTGGCCAGTGGATCAGAAGGTGCAGAGTGGTTGCCCGTGAGTTCAAAACTGGAGCAACAGATGAGAACAATTTCTCTCCAACGTCCTCGTTTGCTTCAGTGCGCATGCTTTTGGTGTTTGCGTTGATTTTTGGATTGGCAGTCACTGCGCTTGACATCAAAGATGCCTTCCTTACAGTTCCTCAGGTTGAAGTTCTCTATGTTGAAATACCACAATGGGTAAAGGAACGAACTGGAAAGGCTGACACACACATTGGCTTCTGAAGCGTTGTCTTCCTGGTCAACGAAATGCTGCATTGAGGTGGCATCAGCACTTTGGACAAATATGTGAAGGTGCTGGACTAGTAGCTTTCCCAGGTGCACCAACAATCATGCGTCATGCAGATGTGAACAAGAAGATATTTCTGAATGTTCATGTAGACGATATTTTGCTGGTGTGCAAGTCAGAGGATTTGCAGTGGTTTCAGGAGACAATTGGTGCAACATTGACAATGAAGGTTGATGGACCTCACCGACAAGGCAGTGGAGAACAGCTGATGTATCTGAAAAAGAGGATCACGATGAGAGAAGATGGGATTCTCATACAACCAAATGCGACATACGTGCCGAAGCTGGTGTCTTTGTTGAAGGTCAGTGGAAGGAGAAGAGGTCTTCCATATCACGCTACATTGGAGGCCTTTAGCCCTGAGGTTGCATTGGAGGCTGAGCTGTTGGATGGAGAACAAGCAGCAACATTTCGATCTGGTTTGGGCCTGGTACTCTACATTCTACATGGCGATGGACCGGCCTGATATCCAATTTGCAGTGAAATTGCTGAGCTCATACATGTCCCTTCCAACAATCAAATCTCTTGCAGCTTTGAAGCACTTGGCCTCATATATCATATCTCGATGGAACGCCTGATGATGGGATTCTTTTGCCGATGACAGAAGAAGGCAAGGTCCTGAGTGATTTCTGGAAAGAAGATGAGCTTATCAGTGATGAAGCAATGATTCCAGACTGGAGTGGAAATGGGCGTTTCATGCTTGAGGCATATAGTGACTCTTCATGGGCTGATTGCAAGACATCAAGGAAAAGCACAAGCTCAGGCGTAATTTTCCTCAATGGTGCTTTGGTGTTGAGCCTGTGCCGGACCCAATGCTCAGTTGCACTCTCAAGTTGCGAGGCTGAGCTCTATGCGGCCAATGGTTTGGTGGTTGAGAGCATTTATCTTTTCAGGCAAGTTTCTTTGTGGAGACGAAAGCGAAGTTGGAAGTGAGATGGTACAACAAAGGTTGTTTACAGACAGCTCCTCAGCCCTTGCATTGGTGCGCCGAACTGGCACAGGGAGGTTGAAACACATTCAGATCAAGCAGTTCTTTTTACAGCACTTGCTACGTACTGGTGTGTTTTCCATTTTCAAGATCAATACGAAGTTGAACCCTGGAGATCTGAACGCGAAACGACTCAGCGGTGAACGCCGACGATTTCTGGGGAGACTTATCAACTTGTATGTATTTGGTGATGGAGAAAGAAATGATGACAATGCATTGAGGAAAATCAGAAAGGTGAATCGAATGACAAAGGAACAGGTCATTAGACTAGTTCAATTGACTGGGGCCACCATTGGGATGTGCATGCAGTTGAAAGGATGCTCAAGAGATGAGCACAATGATCCTGACCCGCTTGCAGGTGGAACCAATGTGAATGTGCAGCTGGTGTGGTGGTCGATAGCATAATGGACGTCTTCCACGATGTGGTCAACAGCTGCAGCATGTTCCAAGTTGATTTCATGGGTTCTATTCTGCATGGTGCAGGTGGCAGGCACTACTACGTTGGTGGTGGTTTTGGTTTATCTCTGCGGTGGACTTCTGATTTGGCAACACTATGGATTTCTTCGAAGTTTTGCACTTCGAAACGCTTCCTGGATGATTGGTTTCAGGTGGACATGGCTTATCAAGCCTGTGGTGTGGAGTGCATGGTGGCTTCTGAGACAGGAGATTTTGTATCTCCATGCAGAGTATCAAGAAGCTGGCCAGTCAGGCGACATGATGGTGGACATTGAGACACTATATGATGGAATAGATGAATATCTGACTGGTGGAGCGAATGCTGTGGGAGCAGCAGCACTTTTGGAATCACCACAGCCGCCAGTGGAAATGGAAGCAGAACCGGTTGTCAATCAGGAGAATGAACCTTTTGAAGGCCAGGATATTGCAGAAGTTGCTCTGCAGCATGTGCGTTTGAATGGTGTGCATGCTGATCAAACGATTGGTGAGACTGAGAATGATGAACAGTACAACCAGATTGCAAGCCCAGCTGGATCAGATGAGATGGAGGTTGACGAAACAGCCTCTCAGCGCAGACAGCGCTACCAAAATTCAGGACAAGACGAGGTGAGCGATCCAGATGAGTGGGCTGAGTTGCATTTTGGTGGAATGGACAGTGATAACCATCAGCGTATGGTGGCATTCTCTGAGGCCAATCAACTACGTTTGAGAAGAGCGATGCAATCACTGGAACAGAGACGTGAGAGAGCTGAAACCGAAGGAAATTGGGCAGAAGCAGCAGAATATACACGTGCTATGGCAGAAGTTCAGAACCTTATGGACATTGCTTAGCAAAAGGCAATCAGTGCACGAGACGTAACACTGGTTGCTACAGCTTACATGGCTGAGATGATGAGAGACGGCTGATAGATTTTTTTTCCTAGAACTAATTCGAGAGCAGAATTTGAAGCACAGATGGCATGGTAATGTGCCAGAATTGCATGGAAGAACGTGTGGAAAAACTTTGAAAAAGATTCTCCAAGGTGGGGTGTCAGATTTTATTCATGGCACTCATGCATGGTTCTAGGAGTCTAAGCTGATACAGAGAAGATTAGCATGGCCAGTCTCTGCACAAGGATGACACGCACAAATGTGCATTCACGGGCCGAACAAGTGGCTCGAGATCAGCAGGAAAATAGGGTTTGAGTGGCGCGTTGCTATTTGACAAAAACATACAAACACACATAAAGATGGAATTGTGGTTGGTTTCGGGTTCGTTGAAACGGACAAATCGAACTTTGTTTACACCTGTTTGCTCCGGCAACGCTGCAACAACAGAACCACACGTATATGTTTGTGAATTTGTTGACCAAGATTGACGGGATGTTGTCCAACACAATCCATACAACAAGGAAATTCTAGCGCATGCAAAATGGGTATTCTAACGTCAGAACATCAACGCAAAAGCGACATGGTTTTGCCGTCGTAAAACAAATTGGCGTTGCATGATGCTGTGAATATTTGATTTGCCGCTCTCAAAATAAAATTGTTTTGCTATTCCACCCCTCATGGAGCGCCTATATGCACGCACATTTTTTACTTCATGATTTCATGGCTGTAATTTTGCATGTCCGCCAGCGTGCATCTCAACAAACCCAAAACCTGGAAATGGAAAAAATCCAACAAAATTCATGTACGTGGAAAGAACAATCACGGGTCGGTATTGCACAAATTTTGTTTTTCACATTGACTACGCGTCATGTTGTCATGCGTGTAATGATATCGCATGAATAAAACATGGATGGGAATGTTCCAGATTGTCAAAATCGTATATTGAAAACATATTTGAATCACTTCCCATTGGCATGTTGCGCGTCTAAGTTTTGATCTTTGTGTTGCACTTGTTTTTGCAGAAAAACATGAAACCCTGCCGTTTCATTTTTTTCATTGGCAACTGTTTCATGTTCAATTCACTTTTGTGCAAACAGAATCATGTTTCCCCGATTTTCTCAACTACGCAGATTTTGAAATAACAAATGTTGCTCCAAACTTGATCCCCGCATCCTTGCAAACCCGCGCCAGCTGCTCAGTGGTTTGCGGTGGTGCTTGATTCGATTTACTGGGACTACAAAATTTTGGGGATTCAAAAAAAATTGCACTCGATTGAAAGTAATTGTGCTATGATCAACGTGTTTTCAGGCCATTTCAATTAGACGTGTTCTGAGGTCAAAATGTTCCGGGTCTGCGCAGCAGTGGCCATCTTCCTGGTAGGACAATTTATTCCATGGTGATTCGCAGTGGTCGATTTCCAGTTTTGCTTCTTTGTATTCATTGTATTCCATTTTTTTGGCAATTGCACTTGTGTTTTTTTTCTCCCTCCTGGTTTTTTTCATGCAAATGCATTGTTTGTGAATTTTGAACATCCTTCAGGACTCAAAGCTGAAAGCACGGAGGCTGATCCAGAGAAGGTTATTGATGGTTTCAGTGATGGAGACCGGGCCAAGATGGCTGAATCTTCCGAGAAACACGAGTTCCAAGCAGAGGTGAATCGTTTGATGGACATCATCATCAACTCTTTGTACACTGACAAACAAGTTTTCTTGCGAGAATTGATCTCCAATGCAGCAGATGCTTTGGAGAAGGCTCGCTTCCACAGTGTGCAAGATGAGACCTTCCTGGGAGACACTAAGGATTTTGAGGTCAAGATTGAGCATGATGCTGATGCGAAGACCATTTCCATCATTGACACCGGCATTGGAATGTCCAAGGCTGACTTGATCAATAACCTTGGCACAGTGGCAAAGTCCGGTACCACCAACTTCTTGGAAGCAATGGCTGAGGGTGGAGATGCCAACTTGATTGGTCAGTTTGGAGTCGGTTTCTACAGTGCCTTCTTGGTTGCAGACAAAGTCTCCGTGACCTCCAAATGCAACGATGACCCCGTCCAACATGTTTGGGAATCTTCGGCTGATGCCTCCTTCACTGTTGTAGATGACCCAAGAGGCAACACCTTGGGCCGAGGTACTCGCGTGACTCTTCATCTCAAAGAAGATGCCCACGACTACTTGTCGGAGGACAAACTGAAGGAGAGTGCCAAAAAGTACTCTCAGTTCATCCAATTTCCCATCTACGTCAAGGTGAAAAAAGAGGTTGATGTTGAGGCTGAAGAAGACGATGACGATGATGACAAGGAGGATGAGGATGAAGAGCAAAAGGACCATGTGGAGACCAAGGATGAAGAGGAAAAAGATGAGGAAGACAAGAAACCAAAGAAGAAAACCGTCTTCGAGTGGGAGCAGGTGAACACGCAGAAGGCCATCTGGCTCCGAGCCAAGGAGGATGTGACCGAGGAAGAGTACAATGAATTCTACAAGAGCATCTCCAAGGACTACTTGGATCCTTTGGCGTACACCCATTTCAATGCGGAGGGTGAGATTGAATTCAAGTCGATTCTGTTCTTGCCCAAGAAGGCTCCATTTGACATGATGGACAATTACTGGACCAAAAAGTCCGAAGTGAAACTCTTTGTCCGCCGAGTCTTGGTTGCGGAGAAGTTCGATGAACTCTTGCCTCGATACTTGAACTTTGTGCGTGGTGTTGTAGACTCTGATGATTTGCCACTGAACGTGTCTCGTGAGCAGCTGCAGCAGAACAAGATCATGAAGGTGATTTCCAAGAAACTGGTTCGAAAAGTTTTGGAGCTGATGAAGAAGCTGGCCAAGGACGAAGAGTCCGGCGGCGATGATGAAGAGGAAGAAAGTGAAGAGAAGGAAGAGAAGGAGGAGAAGAAGGAGAAGAAAGACGAGGAGGGCTTGTGGACCAAATTCTGGAAGGAATTCAACAAGAACTTGAAGATGGGTTGCTATGAGGATGACTCCAACCGCTCCAAGCTGTCCAAGCTCTTGCGATTCTACACCACCAAGTCCGAGGGCAAGGAGGTGAGTTTGGACAAGTACTTGGACCGAATGCAGGAGAGCCAGGAGAGTATCTACTACATGTCGGGTGACTCCATCGAGACCATGAAGAAGGCTCCTTCCCTGCAGATCTTCTTGAAGAAGGACCTTGAGGTGCTGATGCTGCCGGATCATTTGGATGAGCCATGCCTGCAGAAGCTTGCTGACTACGAGGGCAAGAAGTTCGTGTCTATCCAGAAGGCAGATGTCAAGCTGGATGAGACCGAAGAGGAGAAGAAACGGTTCACCAAGATCAAGGACATGTACAAGCCTTTGACTGATTGGTGGAAGAAGAAGTTGACTGACCTCACTGAGAGTGGTGCCATGAAGGAGGCTGGCGTGAAGGTTGAAAAGGTGGAAGTCTCCAAGAGGCTCACAGAATCTCCAGTTGTGGTGGTGACTTCCCAGTTCGGCTACTCTGCACAGCAGGAGAAGGTCATGAAGTCGCAGGCTTTCCAGAACAAGGAGCAGCTGTCCATGATGGCTGGCCGAAAGACCCTAGAGATTAACGCAAATCACCCTGTGATCATCGATCTGCTTGCCAAAGTGAAGGCAAGTGAGAGCGATGAGGCAGCCAGCAAGACAGCTGAAGTGCTCTTCCAGACAGCCCTGATTGAGTCTGGCTTTGAGATTGCAGACCCATCATCTCTGGTGAGCCATGTGTACAAGCTCATGTCCAAGGAGCTTGGTGTGAATCCAGATGCTCCCCTAAAGGAGATCGAAGTGCCTGAGGATGAGGAGGAACCTGAGGAGGAAGACAAGGATGATGAGGACGAGGATGCCAAAGAAGAGAAGGAAGATCTCTAGAAAAAAAAATCACATGCTGGGTAAAACCCTAGCTGATACCAGAGCTCATGGTTTCATGTGGTAGCTCGGAAGAATTTCGACGGGCTGTCCATCTTGCACTTGATTATTGCAATCGGTCTGAGATCATGACGATTTTGATGCTGCCTATGCGCAGTCTCTCAAAATTTTGACATGCCGGGTCGTAGAGGCCCTGCAAAGTTAACGATGCACGTAGCAACAGAGACCAGGATGTAGACATCCCTCAGAAACTTCTGCCTTTTGGCAAAACTATGTGTTTGCAAAAAGTGCCGAGATTATCCGAGATTCACTTATTCTCTCTTTGGCAGCCAGATCTTTTCGTCGTAGGTTTCCCCGTTGCCATGGGTGCCACATTGCGGTTTCAGGGTTGTTGCTGATCTCCACGCTGGGTACCACCGGGGCATGGCTACCCAGACGCCAGAGCCACGATTGAAATAAAGAACTTGCAAAATTTTGCAACCAAGTTGCAGGTCAAGGCAAACAAGCTCTCTTGTGCTATGTGGTTGGTGCAAATACGCTTTCAAGTGACACTTTGTAGATGATCTTTCTTTACCATTCAAATCTAAACTGTTTGGAGGTGTACTGTGGGCAAAAGCTAGAGAAAACACAAGTTCCACAAACTGACCATCGGCGTGGCTCTTTGCACAAATTGCTTTATGCCAGAATGTTCCCGAGAACACTGGACCCCAAGCCCGTTTTTGCAAAGGCTGACGAAGGCTGACCGTTACCGAGCTTACTTGTGTGATTTGTGGCCCAAGAGTGGACCTATTGCCTGTTGGGCCACTCCTGATGGATGCCGTGGGTGGCGAACGGAGCCCATATGCGAACAGGGAGAAGGCAGAGCAAGAAACAATATTTGAAATGATTTGAAATGATGTGAAACCAAACAACGACCCATGAGTTGCAAGTCTTTCGATTTGTAGCAATGTATTGCAATATATGATATATATATATACCCTATATATATGTGTTGCAATCTGTTGCAAGTCTTTGCTATTGTAATCTGTTCCAGTCGTCTCAACTCTGCGACTCTCTGCGCTCCTTTGTTCATAGTGTCAGGACGAGGGTGAGTCGACTGCTCCCAGGCCGCCATCCCCATCACAGCAGGAGATGAAACTGACGTTGAGCAGAAACTCATATCTTACATTATCTTGCATTATCTTACATTGCTGCAATTTATATCAATTTATCATATGTTGCATATGTATATTACATGATAATGTATGTATATATATATATGTATTGTTCCAGGAATTTGTCTTTGGTTTCTTGGTTTCTTTGGTTTCTTTGGTTTCTTTGGTTGCTTTGTTTTTGGCAGTGCTCAGCATTGCGACTGTCCATGGATGGTCAGCACGGCACTGACTCCTGCTGAGTAATGTGACCATGACAGGCATGATGCATCCGGTATTGTTTTCCAGTTTTCCTATATATGATTGGCACTCTGCTGACAGTGTATTCACTGTTCATGTAATCCATTGCACCTCATGTAGAAACAGCTAAAGGTAGCAGTTCATGTCAGAGAGATGGCGTGGCCCCTGCGCAGCAAGGATGACATGCACAAACCGAGGCTGTTTCAGCATCAGAGCAGAAAAGCGCTGCCTCCGTTGTATGGTAGCGGAGTGCCCTGTGATCCGACGGGACCAAGGTGAGGGGGCTCCAGCTTTGAAGCCATAGGCCTGGCAACTTTGATGAACTATTTGGAACTTGCTCTACATCCTTGTAGCTGAGGAGACAATTGGGCTTGGCGCTACATCCCTGTGGTTGTGGAGGCCATCGGGCTTAGCGCTACAACCTTGAAATTGAGAATACCCTCGGGCTCTGGTTGAGAAGAGAGAGAAGAAAGGAGAAAGAGTGAGAGGAACTGAGAAGTGCCAGGAGAGATCCCGCACCGACCCCTTGCAGGGTGACAGTCAGGAAGTTTCCCACTGTTGCCTGTGAGGGATGGCATCCAACATTGAGCAGTTCCTGATTGAGATGCGTGGCTATGCAGCTGTGACGACAGAGGCAGTCAATGCGTTGAGCGCTGGAAGGAGAAGAGACAATGGCCAGGAGTCCATTGATGCGAAGACGTTGCAACGACCTGAGGTGTGGAAACCGAAGGACCTCCAGGAAGAGATGAACGGATGGCCTAATGGTGATTCTTGTGTAAAGCCTTCATGGTGATGCTCGACCGCGACTTCGAGCACGACTTGGAGGTGGTCGAGAGAGAGCTAGAGAATGAGAGAAGGATGGAGGATTACTGTGATGCAGAAAAGGCAAGGAGAAAGAGGCTCTACAGCTACTTGGTTTCCTACACCAAAGGGAGACCTTTGAGGATAGTCAGAGCTGTACGATCACCCAGTTTCCAGCGTTTGAAAAAGGGAAGACGCTGGAAGGACTACTTGCCTTGGAAAAGCTCATGGAGGACTATGAGCAGATGAGCCAGGACAAGTTGAACAACGACTTGAAAGTGGTGACTTTGCTTCGATGCTGCCCTCAGGTTCTCAGGCAGCACTTGGAGCCCACCATGGGCAAGAACACGGCATACCAGGGCATACGTGATTCCATGACCACTTGCGAGCAAACGACCTCGAGCTGGACAACAACGAAGGTTCTCAAACAGGTGCAGGTATTATTCAACAACAGCTTGAAGGATGACCCTATGGAGGTTGACAGAGTTGAGAAGTGGAAAGGAAAGGGGCCTAAAGGAAAGGCCAAAAGAAAAGGGCAAAGAGCCCAAAGGAGGCAAGAAGGGCAAAGGAAAGGCTAAGAATGGGCAATCCGCGTGGGGCAAAGGCAAAGGAGATCAGAGGAGTGGGAAAGGCCCACAGAAAGGAGAAGGAAAGGGCAAAGGCAAGGAGACAAGAGAATGCCACACCTGTGGCAGAGTTGGCCACCTAGCTAAGGACTGCTGGAGCAACGGCAAAAAGGTCAGAATGGTTGAGGAGCTACGTGAGGAGACCTCATCGTCTTCAAGACCACCACCGTCCACTACATCGTCTACTCCTTCTTCATTGTCTTCTACGTCTACAAGCTCTACTTTGAGGACGCCAGGTTTGGTGAGGAGAATTTCCTGTGGAATCAGGAAGTTGTTGACGCCGCCGGATGTGGTGCCATGTGAGATCTATGACCCCGCAGAGGACGAGAGCGAGGAGGATGAAGTTGGAGAGATCAACACTAAGGACTGCAACGTCTGCGCTGTCTTGGATGACAACTTCAATGAGGACTGGCAAAAGTCCGAGGAGTTCGAGGCAATCCTGGACCTTGGAGCAGACACTTCAGTTCTACCAGCACGACTTGGGCGCTATGGAGAGATAAAGGATGATCGATTTCAAGCTCTTCTACGAGACGCCCAGGGAAACTTCATCCAGAACTTTGGCAAGGTTGAATTGACCATGCTAGTGCAAACCAATGAGGAGGAGACTGTTGGACTGAAGGAAAGCTTTGTCATGGCCAATGTCAAACAACCTTTGGTAGCAGTTGGCAAGTGGTTGAAGAGAGGTTGGAGGATTCAGAGCAGAGGTTGGAGGATTCAAAACACATGCTGGTCTACGGTCGCAAGATGATTCCACTAGTGTGGAGAGGCAATTCTCTGGCGTTCAAGTTCAGCACCAAGATCCTGGAGATCAACTACGTTGTCAAGCTGAAGGAGGAGCTTGAGGAAGTAGCAATAGAACAAGGCAGTTGGATCATGGAGGATGGGACCCCTGTGAATGTCAACAGACAGGCATCCACCTTTCAAGAACCTGAGGTGGATTTTGTCAAAAAGGAGTACCCTACAGGACTACATGGGTTTGGATGAAGGATGGAGAATGGCATTGCTTGGAGTATGCAGAGCCTCGAGATCATTGGAGAAAAGGCAGCCTTGGTGAGGAGATTGACGTCCCCACAAAGGTCATCTCTATTTTCCATCGTCGTGCGGTTCAACCTCAAGGTTCTGGAGGAGATGAAGATTTACCATCACTTGAAAATGTTGACCAAAGAGCTGGAATGTTGGAGGATGCTTCAATGAGCGCTGAGGATGGAAGAGAGCAAAGAGGAGGAGAAGTCCCTGAGCCAGAAGGAGGAATTCAAGCTGAGGAGATTGGACCCAAAGGTGTTGAAGGAGCTTTGGCAGACGAGCTTGGGGAGGACTACGGTGTGATTAATGGCAAGAGGATTGAGGAGACCACTGGCCTCAGAGAGATGAGGAATGCCTGCCAGTTTTTGGGCATTGGCAAAAGTGGAGGCAAGCAGAAGATCTTCAACAGGCTGATGGCTCATTGCAAGAAGGGTCACTCAAGAATGGCTCTAGAGATAGGCCAGGGGGAGAAGGAGAAGGACAAACGAGATCCAGAATTTGGACCAGATGAGGCCACCCAAGCGAGGCACCGACTCACTCACCTACCCTTTGAAAGTTGGTGTGAGTGGCAAGGAGGAGCCGAGACAGTGAGAGGCACGAGAGGAGAGAAGCTTCGAGCCCTACGATGTCTTTCGATTATGTTCACCAGCACAACGGTTGGACATCAACCGGAAAGCGACATGCTGAAGCATTTGGGCGGCATTGATAGCTGGACAAAGGCTATCTTACGTTTGCCAATTCCTGGCAAAGGGGGAGTCAGCTTGAAAAGATGTGTGGCTGGGGTAACTGCCTTCACCACAGACCATGTGGAGGTCATACTGAAAGGAGATGGGGAGCCAGCCATGAGGCAGCTGCTGGAAGCTGTGCAAACTACGAGGGCAGGACTTAAGCTGCAGACCAAATTAGAGTATGCACCTGCCGGCCACCACCAATCGAACCCTGCTGAAAGAACAATTCAGACGGTACTGGGCAACACTTTGCTGGAAGGAGTGCGCAAAGGCTTGGGTAGCCAGTTGAACTCAGTTGCATGGCTCCCATGCTCTGAGAAGTTGGGCTTGTGCCCATGCTGCTTGGCTGTACACCCGCGTCGATGTCCACCCAGGAAGCCGCCAGACAGCTTTCGAGATTGCCACGGACAGACCATACCGCGGAAGATTGACAGAGTTCGGTACTGCAGTCTATGGCCAACCTCTTCCACACAAGCCGCAGCAAAGGAAAGGCAGGATGGGTCAAAGGAGTCTTCGTTGGAAAGCTTGCAGACTGCGACCATTCTGTCAGGGCCCAAAGTTTTGTTCCTGAGCCGAGGAGTGAGACGTTGCGCGCAATAATGGCAACCAGAGCTGATAGAGTCAGCCAAAGCTTTGCCTTGGCAGGGACGTGAGGGTCCTGGCCCAAAGCCAGGTAAGGAAAAGAAGGAAAGGGACCTGGAGGAGGTAATGAAAGAATATGCAGAAGACGAGGAGGCGCAGACTATTGCGATATTTGCACGTCAACGCGCTGCGGGCGCACTTCATGTAAGTCAAGGACATGCAGCAGATGTCACTGAGGATGGTTCAAGCGAAGGAGCGCCAGAGGAGAAGAGAGGTGAGGTGGAGGATCCTGACCACGTACAACAGCAAATGGAAGTTCAACAAGGCCCCACAACTGAGGCGGGGTCACCTCAATCAGCGGCGCTACCCCCAGGAGGTTTGGCTGCGGAGGCATCAGTTGTCCAACAGCAAGCTCAACAGCATTTCAAGAGGTTGGAACCTGAAGTGACTTTGTTGGAAGAGACCCCGGCCAAAGCACTGAAGCTCACAGATCCTGAGGAGCCGCCAGCGAAATCTTCAAGGAGCTCTACGGTTTCTTTTCCTGCAGGAACCCTAAAAACTACATCGTCCACGTCGTCCTCAGGCAGAGTATTAGCAGCATCCCCTACATTTGCGAGCAATATCTCAAGGGTTCCGCTTGGAGAAGAAGAGGTCGAAGTGGATGAGGAGTGCTTGGAGAATGGGGAGAAGCAGAGGAGATCGACTTGAGCTTGTGGGAGCGAAATGTGGATGATGGATGGACCACCCGATCTGAGTGATGAGGAGCTGGAAAAGATTGATACAGAGGCTGAGACACAGGAGGTGACGAGACTGTTGCAAATGAGAGTGCTCATCCCAGAGGATGAGAACAACAAGATCGACGAGAGCTACAGAAAGCTCACCACCAAACACGTCAAGGATTGGCGCTTCAGGGAGAACCACTGGCAGAGGAGGAGCCGGCTAGTGGCTCGAGACTACAAGTTTCTAGCCCCAGAGTTGAAGGCTTGTTCAGCCCAGCGTCAAACTCTTTGAGCACAAAGCTGTGGGCTGCAGTAGTTCAAAGCGCCAATGGCGAGCTGGGAATTTGTTCAGCTGATGTGAAAGACGCCTACCTGATGGTGGAACAAGATGAAAAGGTTTTTGCGACGACTAGTGAAAAGGTCTTTGTGATGACTAGCGATGGCACGAACTACATCTTGGGTCGATGCCAACCAGGTCAGAGAGTTGGAAGCAAAAGCTGGTACGACCTGTTGGCACTGGTGTTAAAGCGGAAGGGCCTAGAAGCCTACAAGGCAAACCCGTTGCTCTTCTACAAGCCCAAGATCGACGAGAACGACAAGCCGCTGGTTGTGTCAACCCATGTTGATCATCTTCAGATCATGGGTACAGAGAAGGATGTCGAGGAGCTTCTACAACATCTTCGAGATCAAGGATGGAAATTACAAGTGGATGGACCCTGTGAACCACATGTCGCAGGACAGTGCACTTTCCTCAAGAGGAAGTTTCTTTCAGATGGTGAAGGAGGACTTTGGATCAAGCTCAACGACAAGCACATCACAAAGTTGGTCGAGGCGCTCAACCTGGACAGCAACAAGGGTAAGGCGGTGCCTACTACGAACAACTTTCAGAAAGTTTGGAATTCAACTTGCTGACAAAGGAGCAGGCCAAGACATTCAGACCTTGTGTGGGGATACTTCTCTACATGGCACGCGAAAGGCCAGATATTCAAGGTCCTACCCGCACATTGGCTTCAAAAGTGACTAAGCCAGATGAGGGAGATTGGAAAGAGCTGAAGCAGATCATCCTCTACCTCAAGGAGACTTCTGACTACGCCCAGAAGATGAGGAGGACAAGTTCTATGACATCATCAATTCGAGACATGGTTGGACAAGGAGGACCTGTCCCTGGAGGAGAAGAAGTGAGCGTGTGCAGTGGACCTTCACTGCTGGAGATCCACACTGATGCCAACCGGGCAGGAGACAGAGTGACAAGGAGATCAAGCTCATGTGCTACTTACTTCCTGAACGGCAACTACTTCTTTGCGGTGACGAGGACGCAGCGATCCGTGGCACTCAGCTCGCGGAGTCGGAGTTCATTGCAGCAGTTTCTGCAATTGCTGATGGGATCTATTTGAAGCGTTTTTTGGAGAAGGTGCTCAACCATAAGGTGGTCCTGGAGCTGAGGATGGACAGTTCAGCAGCAAGAGCCTTGCTGAAGAAACGGGGCGTGCAGAGAACGCGCCACATCTCCACTGGACTACTTTGGGTGCAAGACAAGGTAAGTGCAAGAGAAGTAGCGGTGAAGCCGCTAGCTGGTCAAACCAATCCAGCTGACATGGGAACTAAGGCTCATGGACAACAACGACTTAGTTATCTACTTGGAAATTGGGGTTCAATCAGAGATTGGAGGAGAACTACTTGCTCATCAAGGAGAGCGCCCAGTTCATCGTCTACAGCGTCAACTACTTCCAGTTCTACTTGCAGCCTTGGGTCCCGCTACGGGTGTGCAGCAAGAGGAGTTCTACATCCGAAGCGTGAGGAGAGAGGATGCTGCGGAAGAAATGCGCAGTGATGAGCAAAGCAGGGAACAAGAGAGAGGAGGAAGCGAATCCGATGAGATGAGAAACGAGTTCGATGAGCAGATTGAGGATGGGGATGACTATCCACATCACCTACTTCCTGCAGTTCCTGAACGTGTCAGAGGAGCTGAGAGGATGGCTCAGAGAGCCTGAGCCAGAGGATCAAGAGATTGAGGATGAGAGAGAGCCCGAATCCCATAGCGAGCCAGAACCAGAGAGATTCATCGTCTGGATGGTGACAAGGCTGATGAACAGGATGGAGAAAGCTATGTTCCGTTTTGATGCAGCTGAATGCATCAGGAAGACTACGATCTACAGGCAGAGAATGGATATCCTGAGAGCACTGTGGCATGACTACCTGCCTGACATCTACGATTTTTTTTAGCACCATGGACGACATCAGTGAGGATGAAAAAGGAAACCAACAAATGTGCCGAAGTGACTGAGGAAAAGGTGCGTGAGGAGTTGTCCGACCAAGGAGTGTGGGAAGAAGAGAATGACAATGCGATCTTCATGTACAGCAGTTTGCCACCTGAAGATGCCCAGAGATTAGCCAGAACGATTCTTGACCAACAAGCCCTAGGAGTTGAGGATCCTGGAGAGTACCAGCAGCCAGGACAATCTTCTGAAGACCCAATTTGCTGACGAAGAGTTGATGAGAGCCGGACTTTTGGGGGCCTAACTGTCACGAAAAGTCACAGAAAATGGCCAGAAGAATGCAGGAAGCCCAAAAGGGTTTAGGAATTCGTGAATGGATAGAAAGCAGCGGTGTCAATTGAAAATTGGTATCAAGGCGGGGTGTAATCATTGCACCTCATGTAGAAACAGCTAAAGGTAGCAGTTCATGTCAGAGAGATGGCATGGCCCCTGCGCAGCAAGGATGACATGCACAAACCGAGGCTGTTTCAGCATCAGAGCAGAAAAGCGCTGCCTGCGTTGTAGTACATCTCTTTAGCTTGTAGCTCTTCCACCCGATTATGGAGATCACCTCTGGCTGGTCAGACGTCTCCATACGCTTATCGTAGTAGAACAACAAAAATCTGCCTTGACTGCTCTTCTTAGAAGCCTGCGGGAACTTTTCGGTCATGGGTTTCTTGGTCTCCTTGGAGTCGTTGGTCTTGTAGAAGATAGTCTGCCCTGTCCAAGGTTTCGGGAAGCATGAGTATCCTTCGTGGACATCCCATTGATCACCATGGTTTTTGCTCTGGAGATAGTGTGAAGGTCAGGATGAAAACGTAGACGTCGTTCTGAGGTTTCTTGCCAGTAGTCTTCCTGGATGTCTTTGCCAGCATTTCCCCATGAAGCACCTGTCACAACTCCCACTCGTAGTCTTTCCAATGGGATTGTAGTTGGATTCGTAGTCCCAGGTTCGAGGTCTGCTTGAGGTCCTCCAAGATCGAGTTGCCCTTGATGCATCGTTTGCTGCAGCAATGCCACCCGTCCGCAGCTACATCTGGGCGGGTCTCTTTCGATACCCGAGCTAGGCCACCAATGTGAGTTCGCAGGTCAGAGACTTCTTTTGGATTTCACCGTGAGAACTTTTTCCGTCTTTCTGCCCTTGTCAAGTTGGATGGCTTCGATCTGGTTCTCGACATAGTGTTTCTGGTGGATTGTTATTGAGCCATCTTCTCTGGTACTATATTTTCCCTGTAAACTTTCCCTGGCCCGTGGTGAACTTGCCCATCTGGTAGCTTTGACTGCATGTTTTTGCAGTGGCGACTTCCGCGACCATGTCATCCGTAGCTGGGCCAATGATGCCCTCGATGGAGTTATCAGACGGGTCTCGCAGAAAAAAGAGAAAGGGGTCTGCTCGGCTCTTCTCATATCCAAGCTCTTGGAGAATTCGAGAGATGTGGCAGTACCAGGCATAGGGGCCGTCCGTGAGGCCGTAGGGGTTGTCTCCTGCGAGCCCCTGGGATGCCCTCGCGCGGGATCTCGGCAGGATCTGATCCCCGGCATGAGGAAAGGCCTAGATTTCCCAATGTCCATCTCAGGCTGGCTATGACCTGTGGGACGAAGAAGGCAGTCTCCTTCGCCATTTGTGGTGTCGTAGAATCCAGGTCTTCTGCTCCAGTTTCTGAGAATCCTTTCGTTACATGTCGTGCCTTCGCCTTCATTGGTTCTTGATCTCGTCCATCAAGTAGAAGTCCTTCTTCTCGAAGGTCCGGAACTTCATGATGTTCCACGGGTTCTCTGTCAGGACACACCTTGACTTGATGATCTTCTCTGGTTTTCTATTCTGATTCTCTCGGAATCTTCTCGGTCCAAGAACTCATAGGCCCCGGACTTCAGGTTGGTCTTGATCTCCTTGAGGATCGCCGCCTGGAACTTCTCCTTCTCGCCCTTGGTCATTCTCGTCAGCTGGATCTTCCTTTTCTTCTGGTTGATGTTCATCAGCTGTGTGAGCATCAGCTCCAAGTATGCCGTCCTCAGTTGCTTTGTCGGTCTCTCTTCGTCATCTTCTTCTTCAGCTGGATAATGTGGTCGAACTACTCCTCGATCTTCTCCTCCTTCTCCAGGTCGTAGTTCCACAGTTGGTTGATGTTCAGGTTCTCCATGGCCTTCAGGTTGAAGATCTTCCGTAGCCGCTAGTGACGGCTCATAGCCGGGTGGCTGAACCTCTGGTTCAGCTTTCTCTTCATTCTCTTCATTCTCTTCTAAGCTTCTTTTCGTACCTGGCATATCTTTTGAGGTTCTCCCACCAGTCTGAAGCGAGGTACTGGTGTTTCTGGTCCTTCTACTGGGTCAAGATGACATACCCGCCGGATCTTCTTCTCGTCCAGGGCGTTCTTGGTGTCCACAAGGAAGACGGTGAGGGTGAACTTCTAGTCGTCACTCGCTGCTCGAAGATGTTCAGGACAGGCTTTAACCAGATATCCATGATAAGTGACCCGCACCGTCGTGGGCAGGTCAGTTAGAACAACCTTTGCGGGACCATGCCAGTATACGTCTTTCTTCTGTCGATTGACTCCTTTTCGCCAGAAGTATACGGTCTGGCCAGCGGTGTGAAATCATAGAACTTTCTGGGTCCGGCATGGAGGCCTGGTTGCAGTCTGCTTCGTGGTATGCGATCGCTGCCTTTTTCTTCAACCCCATGGATCTTTGGATCTGCGCGTCTCTGGCAAGTACCTGGAACAAACAGCTTGCATTCCGCGTGGTGTTCGCATGGTGGTGGACCCATCATCTTGAGCAGCTCTGGAGTGATCAGATCCTGACCTGCTGCTTCGTTGTCCGCCAGTTCCCAGATGGTCGATGTCTAGCTGGTAGTAGACGCCTTCGAGGGTGATGCCGTAGTTCTCGATGCCCGAAGTAGCGGCTGATCTCCGTGTAAACGATGACGACCAAGTCGTCCCATGAAGATGTTGATCACCCCGAAGTGGTGGATCTCAAAGAGCATCACTTTTTCATGAGGCACCTCCACATCCACGCCGTCACTGATGTTGTCTCCTCTCGGGGTCGCTTGCTGCAGGGTTCCATCGCCACGAACTGGACCGCTAGAAGGTTGAGCTGCCGTTGGAGATGCTGATGAGCCAGTATGATCGGTTCGGAAAACCTGAAATTCCTTACCCTGGGCTTCATGTTAAGATTCTTGCTGGAGAGTTTTCAGCTGTTTTTCCGAAAACTCACACAAGGGAATTCTGAGTGCACCAGTTGGCCCAACATGGCATGGAAAAGTCACTCCAAGTTTCTTGAGGAGGTGAGCTTTCAAACCAACCTCCGGATCCAAAATCAAGGTACGGTAGTGCGGCAAGCCATCAAAAATGGGAGGCTGGTAAGGAATGGTGCCTGGCGGCTTTCAGGGTTCTCAAAATGGCTGGTTTGAGAAAGGAACACTTCTTGCCGATACTGGTTGGGATCGAGGCTACAAACTTTGTACATTACCTGCCATGGACACTTTTGAAGCGATGTTCTTGGTCATGTACTTTGACCGGGATGGACTCAGGAATGTGCTCGATGCGGGCTTCTAAAGTTTGTTTTCCCACTGCCATTCGTTGACACCCAGTATCCAAGGTTGCACATGCTGCTTCTGGGAAGGAAACGGTTGGGGTCCTAGGGGAGTCAATCAAAATAAAA